GGCACTTCCCCGGCTGCATCAGCACGACAGACTCAGCGCTCGGCTGCTTCCATTTTTACTCGGCCCAGCTGTAGACAACAGTCAAACCAACTCTACTTCACCCTGATTCGGCATTTAATCCAAAGAAAAACTCATGCAGTTCCCCCCACCCCCACAAGTTATACACAGCCACTTCCAGATGATGAGATATTTATATATGTATATTAAAAAGATGGACGTGGATTTCCAAACCTGCACCCCGCCGTCGGACCCTGCCAAGCGCCGGGTGCCTCTGGGGAGGTGCAGGGTGCACCCGGGCCACGGGCGGCTGCCCCACGCCGCCGGGACGGCCTCAGGAACCACCTTCCTGCCAGAACTGGTGTTTCCTCACGGCCGGGCGCTGCCTCTCCCACACACACCCCAGCTCCGCGGCACCTCTCGCCCCCAGGTCTTCTCTTTCTACCCTACCAAGAATTACAAACCCCGGGGGCTCAAGACAAAAAAAAAAACCAAACACAAAACAAAAACCCAACCAAAAAAACCAAAACCCAACCAAAAAAACCTGGATTCCAGGAGTGAAGTCAATTCCTCGTTTGTTTTTTTTTTTTTTTCTTAAAAAAGGGAGGGGGTGGCAGTGAGGCAACCTGATGGGAAGTTCCTGCAGCCGGCGTAGGGACGGCAAGGCCACAGCACCCATCGGCGAGCTAAGGATCTGGTTTCAAGCAGCCTGTCCAAGCTAGACAATGCTCACTACTCGACAAGGAGAGCACCAGCGCGCACAGCTCAAAAAAAGGACACTCTAGATTTGCACATGCACAGAAAGCACGAACAGAGATGAGCCACCCTACGGGCAGACACCGCACGTCTACGGAAGGAGGTGAACAGGCACAGGGGACACGCGCACCTCGCGCATGCATACACCATTGCGCACACCGACAGCCAGTCAGGATTCTGGGTTTCGACTTAAGAATTTTTCAAGCTTAAGAAAAAAAGAAAAAAAAAAAATAGGAGGGAAATGGTTTCGTGAAGCTGATACAACTGTTCAGGCTCAGCCTCTCAGAAGGGAGCACCATTTGTTTTGCAAATGCTTTTTCTGCATTTAACGTGCCAGTCCCTGGAAAAAAAAAAAATTAATCCTCAGAGTACGGCAAGAAAAACCTTCCCTTTCCCTTCCCACTCCCAGCACCTAGCACCCCGGCCTCAAACGCTGCCAACGGGTGCGCCGCACGCACTGAACTTTACAGGGATTTCCATTAAAGAAACAAGAGTTACAATCATGGCTGTCCCTCTCAAGTCTTCACGCTGTCAGGAGGTGATCATAAAAAGTTTCTGATTGTTTCATACCCAAGCAGGGATGAGAGCAACTCAATAGGCTCCGTCACCCCACCTAGCAGCCTGTAGGTCACGCTGTCTGGTTGGTAGCAGTAGATTGGGCAGAAACACGAGGTAGGCCTCCGTCACACGTCTACTCTAGCATGGCAGCTTTTGTGCAGTTTCCTCCTGCTGGGGCTCAGGGCCTAGATTTTCACATCTTCCTGGACGCTGAGCTGCGAGAGGGTTTTCTTAATGCGGAGGGCGGTGAGTCGAGCCGCTCCGTTGGCGTACCAGCACTCCCGCATCATCTTCCCCATCACCCGGAGTGCCTGGGTGAGAAAACGGCGGGGGGTCAGCACTCCCCGAGCCCCCGGCCAGGCTGCCTGGGCACCAACACAGCCTCCACACCGCCGAAAGTCAGGGCTCGACTTAGGAGTTGTGCCCCTGGACTCACCCTGCGGAGGGGGAAGGAGGAGGACGCGGAGACGGAAGCAGACCTTACCTCGTAGCTTTGCCACCAGTTCGGGATATTAGGCCGCAATTTCTGATCGCATACGACCTTCCGCATCTCCTCAATAGAAGGATCCGAGGGTACAAGGTCGTAGTACGGAAGCTGATACTCCTCGTGGATCCCTGAAAGGCAGAGAAGGAGAAATGCAAATCCTGGGCGAACGGAGCCTCACCACAGCGCTCGCTGAAGGCAGACGGAGACTGGTTTGGGCTACATGACTCATGGCTGAGATGCGTCAACACTCTGCAGTTATTTAGAACAGAAACGGAGAATCTGGGATTCGAGTTTACAAGAAAAAATTCAGGGAAATAAAATGCAGCTGCCTCAACTGGAACAGAGTCAGCACCTCCCAGCACAAGGGGGTCACGGGATGGCGACCGAGCCGAAGGGCGGCAGGATTGTCCCAGTGTGACGGTGCCGACACGCTCGTTTCTACTGTCAAGAAAGAAAGTCACCCACTAAATCAGCACCACCAGTTCCTTAAAATCCATCTGAAGGAACATCAGCCACCAGTCGGAGCATTAACCCCGCTTCCCTGCGCAGGCCAGCCCCAGCAGCAGTTGCGGTCGCCTCTGTTAATGCCTCAGTAGCGGCGCACACGGATTTAATTCCCCGCCCCCAGTCCCTCAAACCTCATCAACACCCAAACAACAGAAACACCGAGGCTGGGAAACCCAGGAGCAAGCCAAGGCAACAGCACGGGCACACGAAGGGCGTTACCTCCTGCGTTGCACCTTCGAGCAATCTCCCAGTAGACCAAGCCCAAGGCATAGATATCGGCACATTTAAAAGAATCAAAATGCTTCATGTTAATGGTTTCATCCAAGACTTCAGGGGCCATGTATCTGCAGAACAGAAGAGAACAACATGTTAATTTTGAGAGGGGACTCTCCAGAAGATACTAAATGGCAAGGTTTTCCCACACAGCACTTCCCAAGAGACAGAACTCAGCTCCGCGCAGCCTTAACCAGCACAGAACTGGGCCCCGCGGCCTAACAGAGCGAACAACGTCACTCAAAACAAAGAGCAAGTTGGGTAAGAGGTAAAAACATCCAACAGCACGTCAGGCTCCAGACAGGCCCCAAAAGGCTTTTGAGAACGCCAGGCTTGTTGTCAAGGATTACAAGAGCTCCCTGGCGCTGAGTTTACGGCGCTGGCCTACACCTCTCAGCCTGACGGCACGCGGAGACGAGGGTGCTGCCGCCCCTTCAGCATCGACCCGGGCAACGATGCTGATGCTCCGTGAGATGCTTGGAAGTGCTTAAGGTGGAGAATTTCACCAGCAGCTGAGGCGTTTGCTAGTCATGCCGTGACCCCTTCGAACGCTGGCCAAGAACACGAGAACGTCGTTCTCCTACCGTTTGGTTCCGACCCTTTGATTTGGTGCAATATCAATCGTATCCGTCACCGAATCGTGGCGGACGGCCAGACCAAGGTCAGCGATGGCACACGTGCCGTTCTTCTTCACCAAGATGTTCTTGGATTTCAAGTCTCTGTGAGCAATCCCAGGCTTTCCTAGTAGAGCAGAATAAAAAACAGCGGGGGGGGGGGTCAAGGTCTGGTGAAATCTCTCCGTCGAACTGGCGCAGAGGCAGCGCCGGATTTCAGGGCGTTAAGCTCTCGGTGTTGCAACACATTTTCCTGTTTGGACTCAGCGAGCAGCAGCGGAGTGCTGACAGCCCGTGGCAGGCAAAGCTTCGCGCTTCCCAGGCGCTGCTGATGCAATAGCACCCGGAGGCCTCAAGAGGGACATAAACTCCATCGTCCCAGGCATCAGACGCGTCGATGTGGGCATAAGGAGTTTATAATTCTGCTGCTGCCTGCGTTAACATCCCGCCCAAGTAGCGCCAATTTTAGGATGGGGCTGCGAAATGCTGATATAACTCCCAGGAGCCAGCGCAAGGCTAACTAACCCACTTTGCTGCAGCCCAAGCACTCCGCCTATTCCTGGTCAATACTGACCAGACAAACCGGGGCTGACTCAGCCAGCGTTTTCTGTGCAGCGCATCAATCCCCCCTCATCGATTCTGCTTTATCCTCCCCTCAGGAATTCCCCGCACCTTTTCAGATTTTGCGCTTACCCTGAGTCCCCACGATCTCCATGTGGAGGTGGGCCAGCCCGCTAGCAGCAGACAGGGCGAGTTTGATCATGCCCTCGATAGTCACCGTGTATCGATTCAGGTAGTCAAAGAGAGATCCGTGCTCATGGTAGTCGGAGACGAGCCACAGCTGAGTCCACGTTCCATTATCTGCAGCAGGAAAGAGACTGTGCTCAGCCAGAGACGACCACCGAGCACCCCACGCCCCGTCCCCTGGCACAGGAGGAGAGCTGCAGCTCTACAGCCAACCTGGAGGCAAATAAGGTAAAGAATTTTAAGGCGAAAACGTGGCTTTAAGGTAAAGCTCACCCACCACCCTGCTTCTCAGCTGCAGCAGTGATTTTACCATCTTTCGGGGAGAAACATTCAAATATGTAGCTGTGTGAAACGCACGCTGACAGTTTTTAATTAGAAATCCGTATTTATAACGAGGAAACGCAGCTCCCAGGAGCAGGCTGCGCGCTGGTGAAGTCTCTGCTCTCAGGACCGGGGCGCTCCTTACCTTTGTTATCCGCAGCAATAAATCCCAGGATGTTCTCGTGGCGCAGCATAACAGTTTGATATATTTCTGCTTCCCTAAACCAGGAACGCTCCTCACGCGAAGAGAAGATTTTTACAGCTACGTCACCTCCGCGCCACCTGCCGCGCCACACTTCCCCGAAGCGGCCTTTGCCGATGATCTCCTGAAGGACAATCGTCCGAGCCACGGTCCGCTGGACAAAGAGCGGCAAACCTACGGACAGGCGGAGGAATCAGTGCCCGTTGTGGCAAAAGAAACTCCTGAATCCCCTCCGAGTCTGAAGCAGAGCAGCACCAAACCGCCACGGCTCTACATTTGGTAACAACCCGCAGCCTAAGTGAGACCCAAACGGCGGTAGCTCCTGCGTAGGACGCGCCATTTGGCTGCTTGGGCAGCATCTGCACAGCACTTTGAAGTAGGTTGCAAACCGCCAGCGATGAGGCACAGAGCAGTCGGGGAACTTCTGCTCCACGGCAGATCAAAGTAACTTTAGCCTGAATATGCAAAGAACGGAATTCGTTGAAGACAAGGGCTCTGCTGAAAAGCAGTACACCCCCAGAAGGCCTCTGAGGAAAGGAGTCCTAACACAGCTGCCACCTCTCAGGTGAGCTACAGAGCTCACCCGCTGAAGAAATCCCATTTTATATATAGCAGATGTGGTGCTAAAGGTTTATTCCCAGGCCAAATATCAGGTTGTTACGTTCTCTGCCTCTGTGGATTATCCTGCAGCTTCCATCTGCTGCAAAAATAACTTTTTTTTTATTATTATTAAAACCTAACTGCTTTCATAGTTTCAAAGTCATGAATAAAGTGGTGACTTCCCCATCTCTGCCGGGGATGATTTAAGTGTGACGGGAGCGAGCACTCTACATTGTCCACTTCGGGAGAGCCCGGGATTCCCTGGGATGAAATGGGCTGTGCAAAAGCAGTATTTGCACACTGCAAGATTTGCATACGCTGGGCCCTTTCCCATTTTCCTGCCAGCTCTGATGCAGGTGACATCCTTCCTCCTCCTCTGAAAGCCAACAACCGACCACTCAGCCGTTAACGTCCGTTTCCAACCCAAACCCAGTTCCAAGGTTAAACTGGAAATAGATGCAGCCAGTTTGAGTTATCCTTTTGCAGAAAAGGAGGGGAGCCACACAAAACTATTTTTATGCATCGGCAGTCAAGCAGGAGTTGAACTGTTGCTCTTACCTGGCCTGAGCCCCAAGCGCTAACACGGGGCCACGGCTACAGCATCTGGGCACGACTGAATTTAACACGCGCCCTCCACGTTACTCACGACGGGGCAATCCCGACAGGCTGACGAGGCAACAGCCTCACGGCCTGCAAAGCTGTGGCAACCAGGAGCCCAGGAGAGACTACTTACTCCATCACAATTACAAGCTCTCATTCGTCATTTCCAGTCATATCTTGAATACCTGAGCCCGAGCCAGAGGTGGAGAGATCGTAGACTAGATCTTGCAAGGTCTTATCCTTCGACAGGCACATTTCACAAGAGGGGTCTTCCATGTCCAGCCGCTGGCGATTGTGATACACACGTTGGTGGTGATGAAAAACAAAGACTACTACGATCATGACAACGAACACAAGGAAGACAGGTCCGGCAATCACTGCCACCAGCTCCACAGGACCCCAGCTCGACGGGGGCTCGTTATCTTTCAGGTGTCCTTGGAAAGGAAAGGGAGGAGAAAAACCAGACACTTTTAGAAAACGATCGCTCCTTCACGAGCGTTCTTTAAGGACTTTCTTCTTGTGTTTTAATTATCCTCTCGGAGCCTGGACAATTTTAGCTTGCTGTTCCAGGATGGTAGAGGACACATCAAATAACAGCATTAACATGGGACTGATCAAGTCATCAGGCTGGCAAAGTACAGCTAAAAAACCCCAAAATAAGATGGGTGCTGCAACTGGGGGAGCGGGGATTACGGGCTCTTGGCTATTAAGAGGATGGGAGTCTGTTCTGGGCCGAGTTTGCTCCAACACTCTGCATTTTACCTTCTGCATGAACTCTCCCAAGTGGGAGAAGAAACCACTGGTCAGTCGGGACTCATTTCTCCCTCCTTCCCCTTCGCCCTGTAACAACCCCTGAAGACTTGTACCTAAAGATAATTATTTGTATTTTGAGACCAGGTAAAACTTCCTCACTGCACCCAAGGAAAATGGATACCGCAGTCTTCATGGCACCCACTAAAAACCAGCCCAAAACGGCGAGTAAGGAGGTATGAGGAAGTACTGCATGCCCTCTCTGTCCCAGGAACTGGGGAGCAGCAGACGTTTCCCACACCCTCACTCAAAGGCAGGGCTGCTTCCTCTTGGTGCGTTCAGGATCCGGGCACCCCACACACTTTACTCTGAAGCTGCTGCAACGTTCCCATATTCGTGGCTCATCGCTTTTGATCTGCAGTGCTAGAAGGAAAGCCACACTGCCTGATAAAGGGGAGGTTACGGCACAACTCAGCACCAGAACGGGGACCTGAGCTGCGCCCAGGGAACACGCGCTGTCCCCGGGCCACTGCAGGCACCCAGCATCAGGCAGCAGACACTTATATTTAATTGTAGATGATGTTGGGTGCCTGTGGGATACCAGCAGCGGGGCTGATAAGGTGAGAGGAGCTGCTGAGTGCAGTAAAAACTGCAAGAAACCCCCAAACTTTGGAAGCTTCTCCTACCCTAAAGTACAATCTCATCTGGCGACATTTTGTCAGCCACAGGGGAGTTCGAGCCACTTCGAATTAAAATGTGAAGTAGTTTGGTATTATTTCCACTTTACAAATCGAGGAAATAAACCCAGTGCTCAAGTTCACACAAGCAACCTAAGGGAAGAAGTGAAAACAAGGCCGAGAACTCCTTATTCCCAGCCCCAAACAGAGAGCTTCTCTCCTCCCCACTTCAAACAGACCATTTATTCAGCGCTCTACTCACCACTGGGAACCATTAAATCAATTTTGTTGCAAAAATCGGAGTAGCAGCAGTGAGTATTACGCAGATCTTCTGAACTCAGACAATAGAAGGGTTTCCCAGCAGGAATCAATTTTGCTTCGGGAATGCAGGTCCGAACGTGATGTTTAACGCCGTCCAGGTTGAAGACCGAGACCATGCAGGCGCCGTCCGTTTCACACGTGGAGTTCGCTTGTTTGCAGTCGGAGCACAAACACGTCAAAGCTGCAGAAATCAAACCGCGACCTCCTTAGAACCCGCTGGGGATGAAATGCTCCAACAAGAGAAAACTGTCCAATTGCCCGTTTCGGAGGGAAGGGGCCACTCTTAGGCTCAGGAGGAACCGGCTTTAGGAACAGAACTAGTCATACGCAGTATTTCAGACCTGCAAGCACCTAACTTAAGCACGAAACAGAGTGTGGAAGCGGAGGAGCCTTTCCAGAAGACAACTGTCCAGACAGCCCCTGCTGTGACCACAAACAGTGATGACCCAAGTCATCCCTGCAAACTCGGCTGGATTTTACCGAGATCCACTCCCAGCCCGACCCAGGGTCAGAATTCAAACTGACAACAGTTACTCAAAACTGACAGACTTGATTTCACCCCAACTCGCCGTCCAGGCTTCCTCGGGAGGGCCAAAGCCGAGCTGCCCGTTCCAGGCTAGCGAGGGCCGACCCCCCCCAGCTCGCGGGAGACGAGCGGCGGTTGGCAGATGCCAAGACAAAACCAATTCAAACCGACCACGCAAGCCAAGCGTGTTACGCCCAACCAGATCAGTCACTTATTTAGTAACTGCTTTCCTGATTCGAGACGCTACCTTGGGTCAAATAAATTCCTGGCTTTTAGCCTGCTCTCCACAAAGATTATTTGGGTGAAGAGCGAAGGAGAAACTCCAAGGCAGATTCCCACATTTTTCCGCCTCCCAGCTGTCATTGTGCTTTTTCTCAAGATGCCTGAAAAACTGTAAGCAAATCCCCAGGCATTGCCATCCTTGGGAACAAAGAGCGAATACAATAATGTCAAGAAGAAGGGTGGGGCTTGTTTAGCAGCACACAGTATTTTCTTCGGCTTTCATCAGATCTTTCAGCCTCCCCGGAGGGATTCACAAACATGTACTTACCCGCTGCAGAAATGGTCTTTCAGGTAGAGAGAGTCTGAGAAGTGTTTTAAAAGATACAAACGCCACAGTTAACTCTCCCCAGCCCGACGGCTAACGCCTCTACGCCTGGTTGCACCCTCTAAAGACACAGACCACAGTCACGGTCCACGCTCACGTGTGTGTGTGTGTGTGTGTGAACTGCCTTCCCGTGGGGAAGGGAAGCGCCGAGCCCTCGGCCACACCATCCCTGGCAACCAGCTGACTGAAGGAGCATCAGCACTCCAGGATATTCTCCTGCTCCCACAACCAGCACACGGTCCCCGACGCAGAGTTATGCTGCTGGGGGGCACGTTACCTTGAGCTGAACAGAAACCAAGCGGGTCCTGATCAACTTCAGGGTTCCTTTAGGAGGAAGACACCCATTATCCCTTATCGCCAGTGTCCTAGGTAAATCAGTTAGGCTAATTGCATTACTCCTCACTTAATTCTCTCCGGACCCTGTGCTCCTCGTTTCCTAGCTGTTGATGGGAGCTGCTTAACAGCTCCGAGGTGGGCTGCAGTATTTCAGACAGGCTAAATGCAGACGCTGGCGAGTTCTGAACCAACAGATTCAAAACTGCAGAAGCAATAAAAAGCCAGTAGAACCCAGAAGAGCTGTGAAGTGAGACATCTTTAAAAAGCATCATGAGCAAATGTAGCTCATTTCTATCTGCTTAGCACAGGCCGAGGAAAAGGGAGATAGAAAACGGACAGGGAAGACCCCGAGACTGAACCGTATTGAGAAGGGTTGAGAGCACCATACCCACGGGTTCTGCAGCTTTTAAGGGTAAATTTTATAATGAAAGGGAAAAAAAAAAACAACCCACTAACGTTCAACTTACAAACGGCTCTTGAGTACACTGGCTTCCAGTGGTCACCAGAGCACAGAAAAGATAATTCTGAAAAAATAGACGCACTTAGGGGAACGAAGGTTGGTTATAATGGAGATTTTATGAAAACACGAGGTAGGAAAGAGCATCCAGGGCACGTTCCTACATTCGAGTCTACTTGAAGGAAATAGCATTTGAAAGCATCTCCTTTATTACTTCATAAAAAAACACAAGGTACAAATTAAAAACATTTAAACCACACGCGTTTTACCATGTAGGCTCTTTTCAGCTTGATTCAGATACAGCAAAACTGAACTCTGTTCCTGTTCGACTCATTTCTAAGGTCTCAAACCCAAGATTTAGGCTACGGCAGTTTGGCTACCAGAAGGTCAGAAGTAAACAAAACTCTTCAACGCACTAATAAAACTGGTTTTGTAAACTTCTTCTTGAAGTACGCGGCCTGAAACTAAGCATCCCTTTGAGAAGGAAAGCAGAGGAGCTGGCTGCATCTGCTCAGTTTCATTTGTAGAATTAAAAAAAAAATATAAAATTAGTTTACCTGCAAGGTTTGCTACCAGGGACAGAGTAAGCAGATCCTTCTGTTCTGGGCAGAAAGCAGAAGCTCCCTGCTCAGGAGCACGGCCTCCTTTCCCTCGTGGTGCCGTCAGCTGATGCTCCCCCTTTGAGACAAGGGCTCTTTTTCGACAGCAATTCTTACGTTTGCACCTCAAAAACCCCGACGGTAAGGGGAGCAGCGTGAACAAAGGAAAATTAAGCCCTCAGCACACGCTTGTACTTCTCAACATCCTTCCTAAGAGATTCTCAAGGGCTTTTCCAGCTATTCCCGTCCATAACCCCTAGGCACTCTCCAAATTTGAGAAAAGGTGGTGAGATCCCTGGGTAGAAGCTGGAGAACCGTTCCAGCCTCCCTCGCGCGGGCAGGAGTTGATTTCTTTCTTTATTTTCATTACGAAAAAGCCCAGGATCGACGTCTGCCATCGCAACAGCCACATCCTGCCTCAGCATCCCCGACCGCCGGCCGCCAGCGCCGCGGCGAGCGGGGGCACCGGCTGTGCCAAGGAGGAAAAGCCCGTCTGCACCGGGGCTCGCCGGGAACCGGGGCCCTTTCCGGCACGGAGGAGAATTACCAGGCAACCCGCACGGGTCCAGCGTCTCAAGTTTGATTAACCAGAAGGGAAAATTCTTCTCATATCAGTAACACCAGAAGTCAGGAAAAAGCGACTGTTGTTTCCCCTCGGGTGGGGGTCAGAGACCGGACAGGTAGGCAGAGCCCCCCCGCAGGCAGCTCTGGGGTGCTCCTGAGAGCAGCTGGGGCTGCCCGGGCCAAGCAAAAGGAGACAGAAGTGAATAAAAGCGTTTTTCATGCCAACAGCATTCTTTTTATTTGGGAAGAAAAAGCTCCCATTGACCAAAACATATAATCTACTTAATAAAAGAAACTGACTGGGCTGAAGAAAATAGATGGGGCGAAGGAAAACAAAAGAACAGTTCACACAGCCCGGGCGGCGAGTTCCCCTCTCGCAGAACGCCCCGGGATGAGTCTGCGTGGAAGGTGCTGCAGAAGTTGGCAGCAGAGCCCGCTCTATCTGCTCAGCACACTCGTTCTGACATTCTGCTCGGAGACGAACCCAACCCTTTAAAGAAGCTGTTTAAACAAGCCTAACGTTAAGCTGCAGATCCTCAGAACACAAGCTTTGTTCTCCCTCAAGAGATGGGCCGGGGGGGTGGGGGGTGTTTACACGAAGCAAACCCTCGCTGCGACTGAGCCCAAGGCAGAACGCGGCCGGACGTGGCATCGCTCGCAGCAGCGAGCCAGCCCGGTGCCGGTCCTCACCGCTCGTCCTAAAAACTGGAGCAGTCCGATGGTGCTGCCAAAAGCCAAACTCTTCTCGATCCTTGACTAAGCTGGGCTCGGCTGCTGGGCTGGGAACTCCTTCGAGTGACCCCTACTGAGCCCAAGAGCTGCTGCTGCTCCCCGCGAGGTGCCCGCCGAGGGACACGGGTTCCGGGTGGCAGCAGGATTGCTCCCGGTGGGAACCAGGGGGGACGGAGGTAGCAGCATCCCTCTGCATCAACCCCAGCAGAGAGGAAAACAAGAGAAGGCCCTCTCGCACCAAATTCCCCCTTCAAAGTCACTCCTATGTACAAAAACAAATCCAAACAAACAGGCAGGGGTCCATGGATTAGAGCTCCAGGCTCCAGAAAGACTAAAATATTAAGCTCTGACAGTCAAAGAACATTTTTTTTTTTTTTTCCCCCCAGCAACTATCTGAGCTCATTTTGCACATATTTATTCTCGCACAGGATTGCATGTGTCAAGATGTCTCTGCAGCTAGACAGGGGAAAGTTTCACAGCAAAAAAAAAATCTAATGTAATGGTGTTAAAGACCTTTTGGAATACATTTCCCCAAATCTCCTGAAGCTGTGCTATGCACGATGACATTTTCTCAGGGCTAAACGCTACCTGATCAAGACGTATTAAGATAATTAACCTGTAGATGATCATTGGTAAATCTGCCAATAGCCACCCACGTATTTACCAGATAAACAGATTTTTGCAGAGATTTGTAAGCTGCTGTTCTTTTTCAACAGTTTGAATCGAGGCTGGAAGAACAATGATTCCCCTGACTTCTGAGCCTTGGTAAGGCTCTGGAACAGGAGCTGCAATTTATTATGTCTCTGTACAGCACCTAACTTAATGAGACCCGATCTGGTAGCGACGTTTTAATGCTGCAGCAGCATAATGTTAGCAAGAGAAATGGAAAACAATTGGGTTTGTACCTCTGCTGTTTCTTCTTTAGATGCTATAATGAAGAGGGACATGTGTAAACATGCTTGGAAGAAAGAAATACCTTCTCAGTGTTTCGCTACATGCTGTGCCGAAATAAATAAAAGAATAACCTTTATCACAGAGTGTTTTGCCCAAGAGCAGGTTAGGAATAAACTCCTTGTGGCAAGGGAGCAGAGGTCTGTTCCAAGAGCCCCTTCTTGCTCCTCATTCAACCGTATGACCCCCAAGACACTCCAAGCCATCTGAGGAGGACTTTAAAAACAAAGATTTGTTTTCCATTATGTTCACCTTGATTCTCCTGCTGCCTGGGGTCAACATCTGGGATCCCTTCGTCCCTCTAGGGGATGCGTCCGCGTCCACACTGCCTCGTGCAGCACAGCAGCGTCTTCTCTGAGCCCACCTACCCACCCCGCCTCCAAGACCAAGTGCAAGGCCCGTTGGGGATGCTCACACTGCCCCCGTTTCCTCACAAAGGAAGAAATAAGTGCAGGTTTGTCCTTCTGTAGATACAGTACCATCACCTCAAATATCCTTCCTACATCTCGCTGCCCCATCAGCTTCTCAACATTTCCTTTGCTCCTTGCCGGTGCTTATGAAATCTACTGACCCACTGCTGCTAAATGAAACGGAGTTAAAATTAGCTGCAAAGTAGTATGAAAAAAGCACTTTCACGCAAGTCATCCAGAAACTATAAATTATACTAGGATATTTAAAGTTGGAAACAAGAGTCCCAACTTTTTCACAAGCTGGCTGCAGTCCCCTGGCACAGGTTGAACCTGACATGAACACATCACAGCTGACTAGAAAACATATCCTAAATGGAAAAAAAAAAAAAAAAAGGCAGGAAGAACATGCTCTCACCTTTAAAGTGAAAAACTTTCCCTGCATCTACTCAAGTAACACAAAAGGAGAGCCTCTAAATTAATTTTAAATAAGCGAATTGACAGGAGTCTCATCATTAATAGGTTAATTAGAAGAAGCCTTGACATTGCTGCCGCTGTTGTTCTTCAACTCAGAAAACAGACATCCAGCTCTGAACTCCCTCTCCGGGCTCTGGTCTGACACCTATTTTGTGTTTTAACTTGTTAGGAAACCAGTTTAGGAGCCACCCATAGCATACCAGCGCTGCGGAAGAAAGTCCTGCAAAGCAGCCGCACGGCCCGGCGGACGCGCGGGTCGTTACCGACGGCTTTCGAGACTTAAAACGGACGCTGCGTGTTGTCGGGCGGTTGGCACGCGCTTTCTCAGAGCCCAAATAACAAGTTGTTTCACGCGCAGGCTATACTCCAACAGCCAGCTGTCCGCAGCTCACTCCCGAGCAGCCCGCTGAAGGCAGCGAGCCCCAACCTTCGTCAGGGGGCCTTAATGTGCGAGTCAAGTCGTTTTTTTCTGATGAAAAAAAATAAATATACGGGTCCACAATCAAAGAGAAGGGAGGCTGGAAAGCCAGTAGCTTAAAAAAACAGAGGATGAAGAG